GAGGAAGGGGCAGCACCAGTCTTACAAGGCAGAGAGCTGTTGGAAAGGAAGCAGGAGAGAGAGAGAGAAAGGAGCAGGTAGAAACAAGGCAAGTTACAGGCTAGGGAAGCCAAAAGTATTGACTTACCAGAAACTTGGAAGTCTCCCTACTGTTAATTTGATTTCTTAAGTCTCGCTATGCTAATACCTGAAATCCCACTCTATCCTTTGGTTTAAGTACTACACTTACTAGGTAGGGCTCTAAAGAGTAAGAAACCCAGTAAGTCAGGGAAACCTGTAGGCAAGTGAATTTGTCAGGCTTCCCTCTAGGCAGGTGGGATCTGGAATGGCAAATGGCAGAGTGGTGTCCTGGTAAACTGGGGTCCCAAACAGGGAATAAGCACTCATGTATAATGTTTGCCAATTTCCATAGTGTAAATACTCCTACTGTGGCTGATTTCAAGCCACCAAAGACTTAACAACTGCCTTGCTGATTTCCTGAAAATTTATCAGCTTTTGTAATTTGGAAGGGGCTGACTCCAGGACACACTGCCAGAAACAAATGAAATTGATCTATAGAACCAAGAAGGAAGGTGCCGAGCAAAGAAGACTAGAGTTCCCTGAGTCTTGCTCAGATATGTAGAGTACATCTTCCCTTTCACAAATAAGGAAAGGAAGGAGAGACCAGCATTCACATTTAGTTATTGTTTAAAATCAGTTTCACACATATGTGAGAGAAAATTTCAACAATGGGTCTCCCTCTGACCCCAGACCATCAGTTCTCCTCTCCAGAGGCAACTGAAATTCTCAATTATTAGTGTATCATTCTGGAAATATATTAAGTATATGCCAGCATTTATATGTGTTTATGATCCTTTTCGATTTTAAAATAGTAATGTATGACATAACTTACTTTTTTTCATTTTATATTTTCAGTATTCTTCCAGGAAAAATATACATAAATATGCTGTGCAATTTTAATGGCTGTATTCCTTTTATGTGTGTACTATAGTTTATTTGACTGTTTCCTCACTGATGAGCATATGTTTTTCTCAGTCTTTTGCTGTTATATATAAATGATAGAATGAATATCTTTGTATATATGTACATATATGTATATATCCTTGTGTGTGTCTGTTTATATATATATACATACATATATATACATATATATAGAGACACCCTTATAAGTGAAATTTCAGAATCAAAGGGTATATACACTTCTTATTTCTGATGGATTATTTTCCTTCCTGAGAGGTTGTATAAATTTACATTCCCACCAACGAGTCATGAGATTGTCTTTTCACCACATTGGTGCCAACATAGTATAGTCTCAAAATCTGAGACCAGCATTTGTTAAGTGCATACTCTGTTGTCACAGTTGACCTAAGTTCTCTTATTTGAGGTAGGTTTATTCACAGAAGAGAAATGGGGACTCATGGAGATCAAGGAACTTTTCACAGTACAGGTGTGTGCGAGCCAGGTCTCCAATCTTCCCTCTTCACCATGATGGCCACCCTTCCCCACCAGGCTCACTGCTAACGATCCAGTGTAAGAGTATAAAGTTCCTGACAGTGCCCAAAAGCTTAGAACACACCAATAGGCACACAACTCTTTTGCTTCCCCGTTTTTGCCTTCTTTCAGAAGTTTTGCTCATTCAGTTTTGCTTCTAATAATTTCTGTTATTGCTATGAAACCTGCCCAAACACAAATATAACTATTGTCTCAGCCCCGTTTACAATTACTTTCTTGGTGATATGATTTCCAGCGACACTTTACAATGCCAAAACAGGGACCATCTGTATTCCAGGATAAGCTTGATTGGTTTTCAGAAGTACAAATTGTCACTTTGAAAAATAGCCTTCACCTCTAAGTCCGTCTCAAATCAATAGTATTAAGTCTTTCCCTTTTTGTCTTTGAAATAGTCTATACTCATGCATATTCTGTATGAGACTCAGAGAATGTGTTGCAAAGAGAATGTATCATGAGACGTTGCCAATTACGGTTATGCCCAGGTAGCAGATGTGCAGAGGTTGGTTAAACCTTTGGGGGAATTGCCTTGGGGGAAGACCAAATGAAAGTAAAGATTACTATGAAACAGCGTGGAGATTGCCAGCCGGGAGGAGGAGAAAGGTGGAGGGATGGGGAGGAGTGGATGGGAGAGAGGGAGAAAATGCAGGAGAGAGACTGGTGAAAATAAACAGAGTACTTAGAAGAGCAGGAAGGGAGGCTTAGGAGCGTGGTTTTCAGGCTTCAAAAGCCCGCCTGGCGTCTTGCTCGTGTGCCAGTGTTTCGTGAGGATGTGGGGGGAGGGCGAGTCCGAGGGGCTGCAAACACTGGGAATAGTGGTGGTCCTGTGTTCGTCTCTGAAATTTTTGCACTACCTCGGGCTGATTGACTTGTCAGACGGTAAGAGAACTCTCGAGCTTCCCCATTTTATGTGAATGTGTTTTTCGGCATTAAGTTGTTGTGAGAGTAGTTTAGAAAATGCGGGGAAAGTGGTGCGGGAAACTCGAAAGATTTGAAAAGCCCTGCTAAACCAGAGCGGGCTCGATCCCTGACGTTCCTCATTTCGGCCTGGAGGTGCGCTGTCCGTGGTGCTGAAATGTGGCCGCTGGAGAATAGGGGTGTCCGAGGAGGGCTAGGATTTCTCATCCGGCCGCATGTTCATGTGAGTCCTGGCTGATGGATCCCTGGCTGTGCGAGACTAGCGCAATATATCACAGTTCTCTCTCAACGTGTCTGATAACTATCTGTATTGTATTAAAACTACCAATGGCTTTTAAAAGTCATTATGTTGGCTAACTTTAGGTAGTTGGGAAGATTATGGATTATGGTAGTAAAAACTTGTAAAATGTTAATCATAATGCCTGACAATTAGAAGACATTTAATAAATGTAAATTCCTTTCTCTACCCCTTTACCCTCAACTCTCATAAGAATTCTTACTCTAAACCACCTCATCAGCTGTGACTTTAGTTTCCATTCCTTAGTGAGAATGTGGATAAAAATTCAGGTTAACCATGCTGTTTTTAACTAGAAAGTTAATGGTTTGGTTTCTAAAGTTAAAGGAACCCAAGAAATGAAGAGTATTTTCTTCCTCCCTCTGAGATTATTGTCTCTAGACAATAGAATATAGTTTGTCTATATGATTTTTATCACATAAAATTATACTCCTGGAAAAACCCCAATTTTGATGAGCAATGCATTAAACAAGACCAGCCTCCAACAATGAATATTCCATGTTTGTCAGATGGATATCCTTCCACAACTGCATAGACAGAACTTCTCTTCCAAAAGGCATCATGTGCTATAACTATATGTAATAATGAAATACTTTTGTAAACAGAGGACTAGCTAAAGTACCAACCAAAGCTGAGGTCGACCAGAGACTGAGTGCAGGACAATGTAGTTGGATAAGCTCTGGACTAGGAGTCAAGAGACCTGGTTTCTATTAATGATCAGTCCCTATTTAACCCTGGTCAAGCCATTTATTTAATCTGGATATCAATTTCTTTATAAGAATATTGAGGATTTTTTTTATCTCTGCCTCATGGAATTCTGGAGTGACCCAAAGGTTTCTTTGTATTCAGTTTTGTGGCAGGTGTGGTAAGGCAGACTCTGAACTCTTCTTCCCTGCTTCAACAAAACCAGCTCCACTTTATCTGTTCTTTGTGTTAGCCCTGTAAGAGCTTTTAAAAGCTTCAGCTAAAATATAGTGAATCTATGATTCAATGAGTCTGTAATTGTGTTTCCTTGAGATTTTGAAAGCTGAAGCACATTCAGAAAAGACTTTCTTTCTTAACAACCACTTGAAAACTAACAATCTGGAAGAATAGTTCTTTGTGCATATAGAGACTCTTTCTGACTCTCAACCCTTATATGTGCTCTTCTTCTAAAACTCCAAACTCCACTTGTCATTCCGTAACAATTGATCAAAGCCCTGTTCTCCACCAGATCCCAAGGAACATGTTCTATTCCTGTTGTGAACTTCAGAACAAATAACCCACAGAGAATATAATTAATCTAAGACCTACCTACTTCCTTAAGTCTGAAGGGACAGTGGAAATATTACCCTGCTCCTCCTTACCATATCTAGAGATATCCCTCTCCCTTACCCTTCATTAGCTCCTCAAGGTTACAGCTTTCGGTATTATTACCATAGAAGATAACATCTAATGTTACAGAATTAAGGTGAAATGTAGAGAGCATATGTTTAAGACTGCCTCCTAGAGCCCTAGATGAAGGGAGGGATTAACATTCATTCAGTACCTACAATGTCCCAGGTATAATGCCAGGTGCTTTTATATACATGAGCTAATATAACAAAACAACACTCTAAGGAAAAAGACTAAATAATGCCAGAAAGTAGATATCATTGTTCCTTTTATATAAGGAATAAGAAAGGTTTAGAGAAATTACATAAAATTTCCAAAAACACAGCAATAGCAATGTGGAGATATATGTCCCTAAAATTTCAACCCCTGTCCTGCATACCAAGTGCCTTAACAAGTAAACCAGCTCTACATGGGGTCTTGATCTGTCATTAAGTCTAATCCACATAGTCTCTAGTGCTAGAGCCTTCACCATGTGGTTCAGAGTGCCATTTTTAATGTGTATGTGATGTGGGAACCCTGTTCATCCATTTGAGTACTACGGGAAGAATACCACCTCCTACTAAACACACTGGGATTGATGTGGTGCAGTCGTTCTGAGAGCAGTGGAACATTTCTGAAGAACGCATCAGTCATCTTTCCTAGGCCCTTGGTCTTATTTTATTTTTCAATAGTACTTTTGAAACAGTATAAATATTGGGCCGAGAGTCAAGAGAGCTGTGTTGCAGCCCTGGAAATGCAGTTTATCAGTTGGGTGACTTGGGGCAAGTGCCTTTTCTTCTCTAGCTTTCACCTCCCCACTTGTACAAGTAGAGAACTGAGAGTGGTGGTTGTATTGATTTCCTAGGGTTGCTGCAACAAATTACTTTAAACTGGGTGGCTCAAGAAACACAACTTTATTCTCTCACAGTTCTGGGAGCTCGAAGTCCAAAGGCAAGGTGTCAGCAGGGTCGTGCCCCCTCCGAGGCACCTAGAGGGGAGTGCTTCCTCGCCTCTTCTGGCTTCTGTTAACCCCAGCTGTCCTTGACTCGTGGCGGCATAACTCCAGTCGACCGCCGCCTTCACATGGCCATCTTCTCCCTGTGTGTCTCAGTCTTCACGCAGTATTTTCCTCTTCCTACAGGGACACCAGTCATATTGTTTTAGAGTCCACCTTAATGACCTCATCTAAACTTGATTCCATCTACCAAGACCCTACCATCAGATAGGTCACCTTCACAGGCACCAGGGGTTAAGACTGCAGCATATGTTTTTAGATGATACAGTTCAACCCATACAATAGTAGTAATGCTGCATATTGTTGTTGTAAAGATTAAATGAAGAGGTACATGGGGAAGTACCAGAATTATTATCTCTCATAGCAGACACCCATAAATGTTTCATTCTTTTTCAGCTTTATATCATACCAATCAAATGAATACACTACTCATCAGTGGAAAAACACAAAGCCCATGCTTCGTGTCTTTGGTTTAAAGTCCACTAGGCCTCTTGGGCAATATAATTCTTCCCTTTGATTTAGAAGTTGCCAATAAAGCTGCCAGGTTAGGAACCCTGGAACAACTTCTCCCCTGTATCATATGTCATCATGTTTCCCCAGCCTTTACTGTCTGCTAATCAATCAAGCTCATCACCACTTCCACTCAAGTGAGGACAGCAGGGGTTGCAGAGAGAAGATCAAGGCTGGGGTGTACAGGAGACAGACAGGTAACATCCCCCCACCAGAAGGTTCAGAAACCATTACCAGTTAATTCTCTGCCTCACTTCTCACCTGCTACATGCTGGGCCAGCGTCATGAAACCTGACCCTCACCAGATGAGAGGTCTCTTTTCTCAAAGCATCACATCTCCTGGTTCTGCCATGATAACTTCAGAAGTGATTTTCTATTCCAGGTCAAAGCACTGATGGTAGTAGTGAGGACTATATCAGTGTTTCTCAAAGTGGGTTCTCCTGCTGCCATATCTTCTAGCAGTCTAAATATAGCATTATTTTGCTATGTCTCTGGCCATAGCCTGTTCATAAAATCAGGAATGTCACTGACTATGCAAGAACCACAGCCAAAATTAACAGCAATAAGAACTTGACAAAATCTTGGGGAAATCATGAGAATCCAGGTGTGTTTATTGGGGCCTTTAGAAAGAGTCTGTTATCTATGCATTCTAAATTATATGAAACGTGTAGCATTCATTACTCTGGACGCTCGCTGGATTGACTCAATGGCCAAATATTTGAAATACAGTTCATATGAAGCCACCTACCCACACATATCCAGCTTTAAACATTTTTTTATGGACTTAGTGCCTGTCTAGTACTTCATATTTTAAGAAATCATTGCCTGTCCAGTGTTTGACTTAAACAGTAGAGAAATCCTGTGAGAAATATAAGTCTGCTATTACTGAATTAATTTTATAGTTTTAAAAACCTGAGGCTCTCAGGCTTTGACTTCAAGGCCACATGGCTAGGAAACAACAACTTCAAGACTCAACTTAAGTCTTTTAAGTACCACTCCAGAGCACTTTCCATTGTGCAAATGCAGCAGTACCTGCACTTAAACTATGCCTGACACATTGGGAATATCACTACTTCTACTCACGAAATATCTGTATTATTCCTCTTGGAAGAGTACTTGTAACATATAATACAGTTAGGTTGAAGTTGGCTTCACAGCCACCCAAAAATACCAGGTCCTAATCCCTAATCTATAAATGTCACTTTATAGGGAAAAAGGTTCTTTGCAGGTGAGACTAAATTAAGGATTTTGAGATGAGGAGATTATCTCAAGTTGTCTGGGTGAGTCATTTCTTTAGTGTATTCAAGGTAGTACTTCACTGATCCAATACACTTAGACTAAGTAAGCATTGCAGTCTTGTTTCTTTATTTCCCTCATGGCAACAGTCAAAGCTGTCCATAGATTCCTTCTATCTTCATCTTCCTGCTCCATGTCCCTTGTCTTCTCTGTCTCCAACACCAGCACCCGAGACGTCTCTCATGCCACTCAGGGCTTTCTACTGCAATGCCCACTTGGGCTGGTCTTTCCATTCACTCTGTCCCTGACTTCCTGCTTTTAATCCATCTCCAACAAAGCTTACCTGATCTCTGTGCCATTCCTTCTGAACTTCATACTCTTAAAAAAGAAATCCCTGCTTACTCAATCATGTCAGTGAATTTGTGTGTGAAGAGCCGGAGTAACATCTTTTTCTTTGTAAAATTACAGTACTAACATAGTGCACTGACATTAAATTGCTCACTGCTTTCACGTTTGCTTATTTTTTAAACTGGAGAGAAGACAGTTGAGGTGACCTATCACCCCAGGAGACTTTAAGAGTTGGTTCTGGCACCCAGAGCAAACATTTGTTGAATGAAAGCCTTTATCCTGTAGACAAGGAATTAACTCATGAAGACAGTGAAGATATCTGCCCTGTGCACCATGTATCCTTTCTGCCTTACATCGTGCCCAACATGTAGAAGATGCTCAGGAAATGTTAAATGGATGAACACATAACTAATGAATAGTGGGCCCACAGATTTACCTACACAGCTTCTTCACACCTTGGAATGCATTTGGTGGCCCAAGACACAGGCTTCTAATTTCTCCAGTAAAAACTCCACATCCCACACCATATACAGAGTTACTTTTCACTCTCCATCAGCAGGCTGTTGTTTTCCTCCAAAGCCTGGCTCCCTCTCCAAATCTTTGTATTCCCCCCTCCTAATACACATCCTAAGTATTGACAGAGGCTTGTTATTCTCCCTTTGGCCTGCACTTGATATTTCAGAGAATATTCCAGGAACAGAGCAAGTTCTCCTACTTAACAGATAAAATTCTGTAAAAGCTGGTGAATGAATGGATTCGGTCACAAATTAAAAACCCTCCCTGTTCATAGGAAAGACCTGAGAATTCTTCAAGCCCAACTCTGGGCACCCTCATTGCCATTTCTCCAAGGTTACAAAGAAAGCTCAAGGTGGCATATCAGTAGACCTGGATTCCAGCCTCAACCTTGTCCCTCAGGCATAGCAATGTCCCTCTTTGGGGTCAACCTAGCAAACTGTAAAATAAGCAGGTTGAATTACAGCAGTGGTTTTCAGATGGTGATCTGCAAAATCTCCTATAGGACCACCACATGGGATTTGGGGGAAGGAAAATGGCATTCTCCTCACCCTCACTTTAACCTCAACATCTGATTGCTTTCATCTATTTTATATACTTAGCCCTCATGCAAAATTCCTTTTGATTAAAGAATTCCTTTATAGGGTTTGAAAACCGCTGGTGATATCTAAGGTTTGTTCACCCTTGAAGTTTTCAAGATCCCATGGTTCCACTTAATGTAAGGAGACCCATGATGTACTTGCTTTCAAGGGGATATAAGGGAAGTGACCCAGCCAGGGCTACATTTCTCTATGGCACCATCACCATGACAAGCACCAGTTAGGATGCCCTATGGGTGTATTCGACCTGAGCCATAACCCCTAGAACACTGGAACCACCAGCAGCCATAAAACACAGAACTAATGAGCAATATTTTTGTTCCCATGGCTGCTAGAGTCTAAGTAAGTTGAGGGAGTGTTGCAAAAGCCAAGATAAGATCACCTAGTTCCTGGTAGTGAAAAGGTGTATTTCATACAGTGTTTAGCTGAACAAGGTCCTAAAGAGGATGGACATAACCTGGTGTCATGGATATAGCCCTGGAATAGAAGTCAGAGGCCAGAATTTAAATCCTAACTCTGCCATTTGATGACTAATGACTTTGGGTAAGGTGCTAACTCCCATGAGACTTAGTTTCCTAATCTTTAAAATGGGCTAATTTATTCCCACCATGCAGGATGTTGAGAGGATTAAGTGAAATGAATTCTTTGAGAGCAATTTACTCAGGGCTAACACTGTGTAAGTATTCTACTAAGGGTCCAAAGGGAGGAAGTGACTTGCCCAAAGTCACATTTTCAAGGTCACACAACAATGCCATTATCACCATGTTGCCCACAGCTCAGTACTGTCGTGGTCTGAGAGGCTTCTGGTGCCCTGGGAGCCAGCAGGACCCACTGAGGCTCGTGCATCAGCTCCCAGTATTTCAGGGATGCAGCCCTGGAGGGGGCGCTGAGACACCACCCAAGAGTCTCACTCTCAGGAATTCAATATAGAAAACACATTAAGACCTGTTTACATGGAAGTGCTGTTTATAATTATTGTTCCCTCTGGGATATTCCCCCACTGCTTCCTCCAATCCTGTTTTAAACTGCTCCGCTAATAGAGCTTTTCTGGTTTCCCTTGGGAGACATTCACAGATGCTAATCGAGACATAATTCAAAAATTGCTTGATATACATGTCTTCAATTTTCCCTAAGAACCACCTAAGTAAAGATACCCAAACATGCAGCACACTCATTGGCCAGATGCAATTAAACATGAGTGGTATTCAATGTTCAGTCTCCTGCTCAGACAGGTCTGCATTAAGCTGCAGCAGTCATGGCACCTTATCCTAAGATCCCATCAAGGTCAAGTGCAACGGGAAAGAAGTAGGCTGCTAGATGAGAGCGCTGGAGGACTGCTCCTCTCAAGTCTCTACTCTGAGCCTTTCCTATGCCTTTTCAGACAAAGAAGGTGGTTTAAAATAAAAAAATCCTCCAGGTCTGGAAAAAGCAAAGAATCCATGCTGAGCAACTCCAGGAATACTAACTTGTATCTCTCAGATGTGTAAAGAGGAGAAGGCAAGTAGAAAGAAGCCTGGGCTCAAGAAGACAACATTGTGACATTCTGTTGCAACAGTGGGTAACATTACGTTACAGAGAGCTTGTGCTCCAGATTCCATCTAAGCCCTTACCCTTTGTGGGATCCTGGGAGTCACTTAAGCTTTCTGGGACTTTGCTGGTCCCATGCAAACTGGGAATACTACTGCATCACCTCCCAGGATTGCTGGGAGGGTGAAAGTAGATCAACAAATGTGAGAGCACTTAGTGTATCTTTACACAGTAAGGATTCATTAAACTTTTGTATAAATCTTCTCTTTCCTAAAATCTGAATATGGAGAGTATGTACATGCTTATATGCTTGTTAAACAAATAAATGAATGTTGAACAAATCCCCAACATACTAAAATTAGGAGATTAAAATAAGTAAACTAGAGCCTATTAAAAGAAGTTTGATTGACCCAAAACTAATAAACCTAATGAAACTTGGTATCTCGAGAGGAAATTAATATAAATTGAAAATAGCATTAAATTCAAGGTGACTGTAGAGGAGTTTCTGGAGACTGAATCCATGACTGATTAATAAGCTAAAAATAAGAAAACTGCCCAAGGCTAGAAAGCCAGTGCTCCTGTCCTCCCTGCCCCCCTTTTAACGGCAGAAGGAAGTATAGCCCGGAGAATGGAAATGCCCAGCCCAGCAAACTACCCTACCAGGGGCTGAGGGATGTGAGTTCAGTGTTCTTTGCCCCATGATGGCCATCCTGGGGACAAACCTGCCCTCCTACACATTGTCCCTTAAAGATGGTACCAGATTGACCCCCAGGAAGGTTGACCCAGAGCTCAGTTCACTCCCCAACGCCCCTCACATGGGAAAAGACCAGAGGGGAAAGGAAAGGAGACACCCCTCTGCACACCTACTGTGTGCTGTATCCCAGCAAGACCCTGACAAGTGAGTGTCCGCCCATGAGGAAATGTGACATAATTGCAGAAGCCATACGGTGAATGTGTGACCGGTATAGAATTCAAGCCAAACTCCCTGGGCACAGCATCCAACTGTCCACCCCCCCCCTGACATGAATGAGTTTCAGTCAAACTGTAATGCTGAGATTTTTCAATTATATGAAGTCTTTGAAAAAGCCCATAAATTCTCCTGTCATATCATGCGAGCCACAGCCACTGCAGCAGGAGCATTTTGGTTTTTGCTTGGGAGGGATTGGCAAGCAGAAGTGAACAGGACTTACAAAGAGCAGGCAGCCGAGAGGAAGGAAAGCATCCATGGGCAGCCCAGAGGCAGCTCTGCCTGATGGCTTTCACCCCACTCCGTGTGGCTCTGGGATGATGCCTTTGCAGGAACTCCCCAGTTCCCTCCTGAGGAGAACCTCAAACCCTCGGGGCAGCTCTAGCACAGAGGAGAATCCCAGCCTGGGCCCTCTGGGATGGCAGATGCTATTGCTCCAAGATGGGAAAAAGGCTGAAGTGCTTTCAGCCAGAGACCTCAATTTATCTTCAGGACAATTTTAATTGGAAACCTCGCCTCGCTGCTGCCCACTTTTTCAGAAGTAATTAGAATGCTAATCTGTAAGAAAGATGTCTATTAAAAATAAATTAATAATAGATAATACATTTTGGCATACAATTTTGAATAATACAGCCATCCCATCTTAAAGTAAAAATTCATATATTTTTAATAAGCCCAAGACATGTTTCCCAATGAACCACAGATGGTTCATTTTTATTATCCTATAAAGAGACATTATGGGTAAGTGTTTTTTTTAAAAATGGCAAAATGGAACACTGGAACTGCTTTCTTTTGGAGATCTCCAAGTACTTCCTAAGCATCAGGCCCCCCTCCTATCCCATGGAGACTGCAATGGGGAGATGGCCTCCATTATCCTCTAAGACACCATTGATCCCCAGACCTTCGTCCCTGACCAGAAAGGTTGAAAAAATCAAAAACCAGTTCAAATTCCAGCTTTGTCACTTGATGACCAAAAGCCAAGCCTTAATGACCTAGAAAATGGGTATCTATAAAATAATTCTCATAAGGTTATTTAAGGAGAACATAATACAGGGTATGAAATGCAACTGGTACGGGGAAGAACACTCTTTATACATCCTTTCCTCTCCATCTAGAATCATGAGGAACATCTGAACTGTTACACATATGTGCCCATCCTCATAACCTGGCATTGTACCTACAAGGAGAATGAACATGTTCTTTCCATTTGGCAAATGCCCATGAATTCTCCCACAAAATGCTTTTGAGTTTGGAAAACAAGTAATTCTGAACTATCCTCAGAAGATAAAATGTGTAGAACATAAGGGTGGTAACTAGCTATTGTGCCACCACTGATCATCAGGTTATTGACTTACCAAAGCCAAGGATAAGTCAGCATTAACAAAACCCGCTCTCTGTACCAGCCCCACTGCTGGGGCCGGGCGTACAGAAGGAAGTGTGGCATTGCCTTCTCCCAGCCTTCACTGCACAGCACAGTTCCACCACCCAGCCAATTGCTCAAGCCTGGAAAATCTTCCTTGTCACCTCCCGATGCTTTTCTCTCACACCCCTCAACCCACCTCAGTAAGTCTGGTGGATTCTTTGCGCCAGGAATATTCCATGTCTACTTCTATTGGTCTCCTTCGAAGTTAGCAGCTTCTTTCATCCAGTTGCAACACTCCCCTAGCAGGTCTTTCTGTATGTAGTAAAAACAAAAACAAAACTCTTATTGATTTCAATACGCACCAGAAGCCATGTAATCAGTACCAGATTCATGACAGAACCCCCAAAGCCCTGTATCTTCTCCATTCCAGTCACTACTCACCAAGGATGATGGCTCTCCTGACTTCTAACAGCACAGGTTAATTTTATTCAGTTTTGCACTGTGTATTTGTCCATACAGCTGGATGCTGCTATAGTTAATTCATTCACATCACTCCCTGTGTAGCACTTCATTGAATGAATATGCTAAAAATGTGTTCTTTGTTTTACTGTTGATGGACACTTGGGTGAGTTTCTTATTTGGGGCAATTATAAATTAGATACATTTGCCTCCCATTGCTTTAAACGATTTGACTGATCTGACCAATTACAATCTTACCTGACACCCCTTCCTCCCTCGGTCATTCTGCTCTACCACTTGGCCTCCACTTAGTTCCTCAAGAGGCCAGCCTGGCTCTTGTCTCATAATCCTTGCACATGCTGCTCCCTCCCTCTCCCTGAAACTCTCCTCTACTCTTTCTCACCTTTACCCTTCAGCTCACAGATCTGCAGGCTCTTTCCCCCAAAGTCAAAATAGGTTCCTTCTGTTTTTCCTTTCCTCCTTGCCTGCCTTATCTTAACCAGGTTGCTGGCACCTGGAACAGTACCTGGCACAGAATATGAGCTCAGTACTTACTTGTTAAGTGAATGCCTGCACTTGCCATACCCTCCAGGAGTCCATGGTCAAAAGAGACAGAAAAGCCTTTCTGTATCTACCTTGTGAGGGGATGGATGCTGTAGGAGAGTGATCTAGTACCAATGCTGACTAGGGAAAAACTTTCGTTTCAGAGGACATAGCCCTTGAGGTGATACTTTACAGAGGGCTGCACAACTCCAGCAGGCACCATGCACACTGTAATCTAAATAGTGCCCTTGGAAGCATGCACTGCAGTGGGGTAGATTTAAAGGAAACCCAGGAAATAACCTGATAGAGAGGGAAGGAAACCAGGCACAAGCATGTGCAAACGTATGAAATGTCACCCCAAGAAGTCATGCTGGGGGAACAGCAAGTAATTCTAGAGAGTGTGGTGTGCATGGCAGGATGACAGTGGGCGGGAGAGAAGCAACAGACGAAACTTGAAAGCTAAGCAAGGAACAGATCTTAGAAGACCTTGAATGCCTTATTAAGGAGCACGGCATTTCTCCTGCAGACAGTGGGGAGCCACACCCTTCCTTCCCATCTATTCAGCTCCCACTTCTCCAGGTTTCAGGCCCTCCATCTCTCTCTCAGGGGCAATCTTCCCCGACACTACAGCAGAGCCTCCTGCCACTCCCTCCCATAGCACCAAACGTCAACCAACCCCTTGCAACCCTCTCAGTTACAATTTTGTATTTCTGTCTGTGATTCTTAGATTAAGTCCTTCATGCACCAAACTAACCTCATTGGGAACAAGAACCACGCCTCTTTGCTCACCATTGTAATCACTGCCTGGCATGTACTAGATATTCCATTAATGTGTTGTCTATGAATGACTGTTTTACAAAAGTCCTTCTGACTGTTCAGGCAGAGAACCCATTGGTAGGGTTGAGCCTATAGGCTGAAGGCTGGAGCTTTGCAGTTGCCTTGGGGAGACATGCTAAGTACACAAAATTGAGCCCCAGGTATGTTCATGCCCAGTGCCCAGAAAGGCAATATCAAAGTAGGCATTTTGACTTACATTTGTCTAACTGCAGAACCAAGCTGTTTCGACTCTATTTTCTGTTTTTCTGTATTCTAGATGCTCTGGCAATTGAGACCTTGATTCTGGTGAAACTGCCTTCCAGAGCTAGCTAATTCCTAGGGATAGCAAATGATTCCCTTGCAAAGGTGCCTTTGATATACAAACCAACCAGTCCAGGGCCCACACCCCGATCATCTTCTTTATCTAACTCACACACTTATAATGAACCAGTATTCTCTCTGCCCTAAATCACCCCAGGGCCAGGTACTGGACAACTAGGGGCCATCCCTACAGCCCAAAGGCTGACAAAATTATTCAAACTTTCCAATGCTAAGCTTACTAACATACCTATATTGCTTCACCCATTCCTTCCCACTAAAGCCCCAGTACAGGCTCTGGGCCCCTCTCCCCCCTCTCCCTGCTTCCTGATGGTCCCTGTGTGGCCCTGCAGGGCATTTGTGCCTCCTGTTTCTAGGGATCCTTGAGTATGAACTTCCTTCATGACAGTCATTTCCATGTCTGCATATCTTTATGTACCTGATTAAAACACATCCCAGGTACAAATTTTAATACAAAAAAAAAAAAACCTTTAATGCATTCAGGTGTCCCAGGGTCCTAACTTCCTAAAGATGCAACTGTGCAGTGAAACAACTTTCTAATCCTCATGGCTCCCAACAGGGCATCTCCAACGGCATTCGTAAATGTTTGCAGATAATGAGCAGGAAGCTCTCAGGAGCCCTCATCTCCCGAGAATCTGCTCCAGCCCCCACATTAGGCCAGGCACAGAGCTTCTCCAATGGCCTCGGGACCAACCAGTTTTACAAATTATCAACATCTCCCCATTAGCTGTTGCAATATTAAATTGTGTGACTGGAAATGAATGAATAATCCCACGGGCAAGTAAGGGAGACCAAGCAGCAGGGATTTAATAACAAGTCCTGCCCTCTCTCCAAGCGGAAGTTCTCCCTAATTAAATATTTAAAATCTATCCACACAGCTACAGCAAAAAAATTGCTTTTTCAGCAGCGTAAAGTTGAGATACTTCCTGAGAAGACCTAGGCTCTGTGGGTCTTGGGGATCCAGCAGAGGGACCAACAGAACCACCATGTGACAAGCACCGCTGGATGCCAGGCACAGGCCTTGTTACCCTTGATCCTCGGGGTGACTATGAGACACCTCTTCTGAGTGGCAAGGCTGGAATTGCAGCCCAGTTCCGTGTGGCTGTAAAGCCCATGCAGTATAATGCAGCAGTTAAGAACACGGGTTTTGGCATCAGACTGTCCCGGATTTGAGTCCCAGGTCTGCCATTTAGTAACTATATGGTGTTGGGCAGATCACCTTACATCTCTAAGTCTCACGTTGCCTTTAAAAGGGTAGTGGTGTGCAGGTCCCAGGTTTTGGGAGGGTTACATTACATGAGATAATGTACATGAAGCCCTAGAGGCAGGCCTGGTATTTAGGAAATGCCTCTGAAATGTCAGCTACTATTCTGATCAGTAGAAGACCCCCCTCCATTTCCCCAACACTGCCACCCCCATCCCACCCCAGTATGTCCAAAATACCTCCTCTAGAATGGGGCATGCTGTTCAACCCACTCTCCCTAGCCAGGTTGTCTTTTTTTCTTCATAGGCTGGGAGGCGCTATTAGGCACTGTTTAACATCTAATGAGCATATGCTCAGTGTCAGCTGCATCTCCACGCATTATCTCATTTAAAGCTCACAAGGGCCCTGCAAAGTGAGGCTATCCCACCGTTTCCCAGTGTTGAAACTGAAATTGATAAACATGTTTCAAGGCTACACAAAGATCTCCTAGCTGGAGGCACTCCACCCTCACCTACCTAGCTTCCCAGGCTCCTCCATAGAGAAATGGCCCCCAAGGACCGTTGGGCTTTGGGCTCCACCCCACTTCCAATCCCAGGGCTTCTGAGGTGCTCCATGTTCCTACTTTAGGTAAATTTAAAAAATGACCTTTATGGATTTCTTATTTGAAATTCATACTCATTGCAGATGTTTTTAAATACCCATAAGCAAAAAGAACATAACAGCTTCCATAACCCCAACCCTCAAAGATCACCACTGCAAAAATTTTTATGTATGATACTGGGGGTTGGGGGGTGGTGATGTCTTGCCAATTGGTTTCAGCCCTGGGCAAGTTCACTATGCATTCAATAAGACCAATGAATGACAATATATGTTCTTGGGGTGAAAGAGTTCATACCCAACTTTATTCCCATAGTGGCAGGTCAACCACTAGAATCCCGTCCACTCAGAGCGAGTCTGCCTGCATCAGGCTGGTCTCTGCCTCTGGGCCTCTCCACCCCGACAGCCGTCTCAGTCTCTGTCCTCAGCACTGACACCCCGACAGCTTCTGTTCTCTTGCAGCCTTGCAGCCATGCCACCATGTTGCCCAAAGCACTGGGCAGAGCTCTTCATATAGAGTCAGTAATGATGTATTGCCCACACGTGTGTAGTGAGCTAGCCAACCAGGGCCAGGTGAGAATCCTGGCCACAGGAACCTTCACTTTATCCACAGGTGACTTGCTGGGTTTTTTTTTTCAAACGTCTGTATTCCACTTCTAGGAATATTTCTGAGAAATAATCTGAAATGTGTACAGGGTTACTCACATCCCTAATCCTGCTCCCATTGCTTCCTACCTTCCTAGATTTTGCTTAAATAATTATCATATCTCTTTTGCATATTTAATCTCTCCCTCTTTTACAACTACCAAGACCTGTTTCCCCTTGCAGGGTTATAGGCTAACTAACATAAGAATAAAGAGGAAGTTACTGATTAACTAGAAAAAGGCTTACAGTCCTAAGAGATTTTCACCAGCCTTATAGTATTCTTGAAGCCATGGGTCAGGTCTCCAGCCAAACCTGACTCATTGGCATTCTAAATTGGAATTACCAGGCCCATTGGTATTTGTCTCACCAGTGGGTTTCAGCCCCAGGCAAGTTCACTCTTGATTCAGTAAGATCAAAAAATGACAATGTAACGTTCTTGGGATGAAAGGGTTTATACCCAACAGTGGCAGACCAAGCACTAGAACCCCACCCACCTCAGAGCGAGTCCACTGCAGCAAGGCAATCTCTGCTTCTGGGCCTCTCTGCCCTGCAGCCATCTCAGTCTCTGTCCTCGGTGCTTCCACCTTCTCAGCCTCTGCTGTCCTGCAGCCATGCAGCCTAGAGCACTGGGTAGAGCTCTTTATATAGAGAGTCAATAAAAATGTATTGCCTACACATGTGAATGAGCTAGCCAACCAGGGTCAGGTGAGAACCCAGGCCATAAAAACTTTCATTTTCTCTACAGCATTCCAGCTGAAACTTCAACTACCTCAAAAGGCAGGTTTTATTAACGGATAGGGAGAAACAGTCTTCCTTTCCTTTCACTCACTTGTGGAGAGCTGAGACCAAGTTGAAGGTCTCAGGCCTAGGGGATGAATGGAGACACTCTATCTCAGTGAGCCAGCAGAGAGAGGAAGGACACAGAGCCTTCAGGCAGAGACCTGACCCTGTGAAGCCATTCTCCGTGAAGTCCCCGCACGTAGGGAGGGCCGAGAATGCCTCAGTTCCCTCATGATCAACTTCCGACATCCTCTGGTGATTAATATTCTAACTCATAACTCTCCACTGGCTTCTCAAGAAAATAAAGCCCCCTCTACCATACCTGCTTTGCTCTTTGCCATCCCTAAAACTGTTAACATGGACCCAAAGGCCCAGCACAGCATGGTCCATGCCTGCCTGGCATTCCGTGTCCCTTGTCCACCGCACCGCAGCCTCCAGACACTCCCCCCGCCCCGTGCCTTCTCTCATCTCCTAGCGCAGGCCTCTCTTCTTCCCACCCCAGAGTCCTCGGAGAGGCTGCTCCCTCCCTCTCCGCATGGTGCTCTCCCTCTTCTCCACCTGGCCATCCTCTTTTCCACCTGGTTCAACGACGGCTCAGCCACAGTGAAGTCTTGTGACTGTGACTAGTTCTTCCTGCTTAAGTTCCCATGGTATCCCATAGCTTTTTCTTTCACAGCGCTTTGCTTCATTATTCAAAATTCAAAATTCATTTTGAATTTTCAAATTCAAAAATTATTCACTGTCTAGCTGCCTCCTCCCAGAGCATGGGCCACTCCTGGTCCCATTTGATTGGCCAGTGCCAGTCATATGATCACAACTAACTTCAAACGGGCCAGAAATGCATCCAAACAGCACTTGGAATGAGAACCAGAAATAGTTGGTGACAAGCATGAATGATCACCACAATATCTTGTTTTGTTTGAAAAGAAGTTTTATTCCACAGAACCAGCATTGCAACAGGCACAACTAAACACCAATTGCAATGGACCAGACTTACCAGGACCTTCTCCACAACAAAACAGATGGCAACTACTTACCACTATCACACTCAAAATGTAATGTTTTTGACCGAAACATTAAAATTATAAAAGCAATCCATATACATACCTTAAACAATGTTTCAAACAGTAACAAAGGCTGTTAGGTAATAGAGAAAGTGGGCCCTCCTCCCCCAATCTCCCTTCCCCGTAATCCCATAGACGTGACTGTGACAAAACATGTTTCAGGACTTGAGAGGCAGGCTGGGAAGTCTGGGAAGGCTTCGCAGAGAAGCCATGGCTGGAAGCTGTTTGGGTTTCTTGTATGTGAGATTTAATTTTCAAAGACTCCTATGATCCAACTTCAGCTTTATGGTAAGCCACTTTGACACTTAAATGATGAGAAATACTGCTGTCTCACAGGGAGGAATTCAGAAGGGCTGGGAATTCCAAGCAGGGGCTCTGATCTGGAACATTCCATCAAAGCATCACTCCAGGCTTAGTGTTTGCCACCCACACATGAAACAGTTTCAGAGCCTTGTTGACCCACTAATGTATTCACAAACTAACTCAGTTAATTAATCCTGGCTCTTTATCCTCTTAAACTATAAAACTCTTCCACTGGTCACCCTGGCTAATGGAGTGTTACGTAGGCTCTTTGTACATTTCACCCCACTCCCAGCCAAGCAAAGACACCCATTAGGAAGCGGGGCCTCAACTGCTCCCCTCCAGGTAAGAAGGAGACTCCACCAGTGCCTTCTACATGCCAGGTACTTCCCCTGCAGTGGTTCCTTTGACCCTAACAGACTGGGAGATGGATGCTACTGTTTTACCATTTTACAGTTGAGAGCGCTGAGTCCTGGAAACTGGAGTAACTCACCAACGGTTAAGCTGCCGAGCTGGGATCCAAGCCTGACTATTTTGACCGTGAGACTCCACCATTCCCCAATTACAAATGCTCAACTGGGCTGCCACCTTTCCTGACCACCCTGTGTAAAAGAGTGCCTCCATGACCCATTGCTTTCCAATCCTGTAACCCTGTTTCATTTACAGCACACATTACCACCTCTATTCATGCTCTGTCTCCACCTTTTTGTTCACTGCTTTATCCACAGTGCCTAGAAGAGAGGCTGATGTGTAGTAGGCCCTCAGTAATTATCCATTGAATGAGCGAATGAATGGGGCTGTGGAAAGCATACTAAATTGCCAGAAGGACTGACCTGAGGTTGATCCTGCTCTGCCAGGAAGCCAATGTGTGACCTCAGGCAAGTCCAGTTCCCTCTCCAGGCCCCAGGAGCCACATCTGTGAAATTAGAGGACAGGATGAAAGTATCTCTCCATAATTCGGATGTTCTGTGACTTACACAACTTGTCACCCAGAGTGAAGGCTGTGTTCATGTTCAACAATGGGAAACAAAATTGGAAATGCTAAACAGATGGCAGAGAGCTCGAAGCAGGGGAGAAGGTGAGGATGGAACCCTCTGGAACTATTTGGTGTCTCCCTTCCTGCCACCTCAGACTAGGCTTTGCAAATTCCCAATTGCAAAAAGTGTGATAAGCTTGTATAGAGAAATCTGGCCCCTAACTTGCTGAAACAGAGAAACAATCACAAAGACACAGGCATGGGCTCAGGGCAGACCCACAGGATGGTGCCTTATGTTAGAAAGTGTCTGTTGATCAGATGATGAGCTTAGTCTGTGCTCTTCTCTCTCCCATCTTTGTGACTTCAGGGGTGTCTTGTAAGGTCTCTGATTCCATTTCTCCTAGTAATATTTTCTCTTTCCTCTCTGAAGCTCAGTTTTCTCCTTTGTAAAATGGGAATAATACAATGCATACCTTGCAGGAGTCAAGAAATGTGAAAAGTCCTCCATAAAATATGAAGCTGAAATGGACTGAACCAGAACCTAAAAGTCTACCCAACTCTTGATTCATGTGCTGTTCATAGCACAGAGGCACACATCTAAGGACATAGCTTGAACCTATACAGAAGTCCTCTCTAATCACACGGCATCCCTTTTTCTCCATGTTATTTGGGACCCAAAAAATGAAATTCTGTCATCTTTCTGGATTTTCAGAAAACATACAGAAGTCACATGGAAAAACATGGCATGGGGTAGGGGAGGGGGGCTGTTAAACAGGATGGGGTAGGGGAGGGAGGCTGTTAAACAGGGATCATAGACTCCAGCAGGAATGTGAATAAGTGATGATGCATAATAGCTGTCCTTGATCTTAGTGTTGGAGAGGTAATAGGGAGTAATGGGGACTGCAGTCTAGTGGAGAGCACATGATCTGTCTAAAGTGAGCAGCCACTCCCCAGCTCCAGCCAATTGTTGCCATGTGATAATGAGGGCCTGCATAGCAATAACTTCATATGTCTAAAGAGAAGCCAAAAATTTGTGTGAAATAGATGTTGGCAAAACTCAAATTTAAAAGAAGTGGGACAAGAATTGTGCCCTGTGGGTTGTCAGATTATGATTTCTGAACTAAACTGTCAAACAACAGAACTAGCCACTAACTTAGCCAAATACTTCCCAGATATTCTCTTGGCTGCTGTCTCAGGGCTCTAAATGTATTTCCTACTCAGCTCCTTGGAATTCTACACACTTCTGGCAAAAAATGAGCACTTACTAAACACCTACTATGTGCAAAGCAGACACTAGATATCATGGAGGAGTGGGATAACAAAAATGAAACAAAAATTGGTGCAAGACACTGTTTCCCCACGCCCACCCCATTCCTGTAAACAAAACCTGCAATATCCAAACTTAGATTCTGATAACTGCTGAGTGTTTGTCAGAGACAATAAGCACTTCAGGAGGTCGGACAGAGAGAAAGAGAGCTTTCTGTGTGGTGGTCTGTGACAGCTGCCCCAAGAAAATGGCTCCTAAACCAGGTTTAAAGTGTGGTTGGGACTGGGGTCAACCCATCACACACTCTGTCAGAGACAGGGGTCCACACTCCCATAGACCATGGCTATTATAGAAGACATGCTGGGTGTTGGTGGGGAATTGTGCTGGAAAGGTAAACTGGGCCCCTAGTGTAGACCCTTCAATGCCAGCTGGGGATCTGGGCTTGGTCTTGAAGCTTCCTCAGCAGGGAGGTGGGTGTTTTAGTGGGGCAAATCTGATGGGGAGGGACCCCTCAGCCCCATCCATTCTCCAGGATGAAAAGCCTGGGCACAGGCTTCAGGGGTCCCTCCAGGTCTGACTCTCCACCTCTTGGTTTTTATTTCAGATCACCCAAATAGACAAACAAGATAGAGCTTTCCTAAGCACCTCACACCGGCTGTCTCCTTTGGGGTGGGGGTATGCCTTTATGGCAATGATCCGGATCCTGAAACATTTCAGAGAGGCACTGAGGCTTTGAAACAGGCAGTATTTCCTTTTTTTATGATGGTTTCATTTTACATTTTTATTGGCTCTCCACTGATTGCTCTCGGGCTCTCTGACGGGATGTGAGATGCGCTGACATTTATAGAAATCAATACATTAATAAATCATGAAGTTCATAATGTCTGATTTGCTTCTAAATGAGACAGAACTATTATCACCATAAAGTTGCACATAAAATATGCCCAATTGTGATGTATTGTATAGTCTAATCAAAGGCATTTGAGTGAATAACCTTTCCCCAAAAGAAGGAAACAATCAAAGCTGAATAACTTCATTAATAATTCAAGGTATGTCTGCCAAGGCTTCATTTATTAAGTGCACAGTTAAGAGGCTTCTGAGCTGAGTCCTGGAGATGACACCTTGCCATCTTCTCCCTGCCTCTGGGCAGGCAGACATTCCTTCTCAGATGAGCTGGCTGCAGTTCTTCCATTTGGCAGTTCATGGTCTGGTTGAGGGTAATGCCCAA